CTGTAACCATGGCACCACTGTCCACAGCATCTGTTCAAATACACAGTCTATTCAACCATTTCTCATTTGAAGTACCACATTTTGCTCATGTTATTTGTTAATATTCAGACTGTCAATATAAAGAAATTGGTTATTGTGCTTCGATATATATGACTTACATAAGTTTTATTTCATAAAATGAATTTTAGCTGTCAAAATAGAATTTGAATAACACTACTTTATTGGTCTTTCAGATAAAAAATAATTTACTCGCCAACAAATATTTAGAGCCATGAAATAGGATTTTTATTATAGCCCTGCTTAGCTTCAAAAATTGCCCCACTAATGGTGAACTTGTTCCAATTTGTATGAAAACATTAACCGGTCACTCAATTCATATGTCAAATTTTTTTCCTTTTATTTTATTTTACAATACCATTCAGTTCTACATAACAGTCACGGATTCCCTTGTTCTCCCCCTTTCTGCCCCCCTCCCCTTCCCCCCAGCCCACCCCCTATTCCTACCTCCTCCAGGGCAAAGCCTCCCCCGAGGACTGAGATCGACCTGGTAGACTCAGTCCAGGCAGGTCTAGTCCCCTCCTCCCAGATTGAGCCAAGCGTCCCTGCATAAGTCCCAGGTTTCAAACAGCTAACTCATGCAATGAGCCCAGGACCTGGTACCAATGCCTAGATGCCTCCCAAACAGATCAAGCCAATCAACTGTCTCACCTATTCAGAGGGCCTGATCCAGTTGGGGGCCCCTCAGCCTTTGGTTCATAGGGAAAGAGAGCGGGAGATCCCAGCTGGATCAAGAACAGAGAGGGAGAACAAGGAATAGGAGACCATGGTAAATGAAAACCACATGAGAAAAGGAAGAAACAAAGTGCTAAAGAGGCCCGCAGAAATCCACAAAGATACCCCCACAAAAGACTGCTGACAATGGTCAAGAGACAGCTGGAACTGACCTATTCTGGTGATGGTGATAGGATGGCCAAACACCCTAATAGTTGTGCCAGAAACCCCATCCAAGGACTGAGGAATCTGGATGCAGAGATCCACGGCTAGGCCCTGGGTGGAACGTTGGGAGTCTAATTAGCGAGAAAGAGGAGGGTTTATATGAGCAAGAATTGTTGAAACCAAGGTTGGATAAAGCACAGGGACAAATAGCCAAATGAATGGAAACACACGAATCGAATCATATGTCAAATTTTAAGAGTATCTTTATTTTTATATCTATGCAATATTTTGGATATTCATAAAATTCTCCATTTATCTATAACAAGTGGACTTTAGCAAATATTAAAGAAGAGAAGCCAGGCGGTGGTGAAGCAAGCCTTTAATCCCAGCACTCAGGAGGCAGAGGCAGGCAGATCTCTGTGAGTTGGAGGCCTGCATGGTCTACAAAGTGAGATCCAGGAAAGGCGTAAAACTACACAGAGAAACCCTGTCTTGGAAAAGAAAAAAAAAGAAGTTATAGAGAACTTGCAAATAGAAGAAGCTGCATGGGTCTGGGCCTATCACAACTCCCGAGTGTGGATGTGGTTGGAAGTCAGTGCTAGTCTTCCACCTGGAGAACGTGGTGTGTAAAGGTGAAGGGGTCTCATCAAATGGCAAGAAAGGGAAATCTATAAATCTCTGACTGAGTAGCTCCAAGGTTTCTAACACAATGGTGAAGGAGAGCTTTGGCAGGGCCAGAAGTTTCAAACTGACAGTGGGCTCTGAAAGGAGAAACTTCAAGGTCAGTGGGTGATTTCCATCCCAAATCTCCATAAGTCAAAAGCTTCCTGTTTATTCTAATTGGCCATTCAAAAGAGTAATCTAGTTCTGCCTCCAGCCTGACAATCCCTGTAAGACCCTTCCTGGCATCCTCTCTGACCCAGGAAAACTGTCTACACTTCGCACCTCCCGCTCTGGTCTGGCTGTATTCCACTATCTACTTTGTGCTTTTATTGTAGATTCATTCTTCACTCTCCCTTTGCCAGATAAAACAAAAATGCAGAATGATGAAGGGTAAATAGTTCTTTTCTTTTAAAAAGTGCTGAAAAGTGGGAAAATTTACATGGTGGAAAAATGAGTGAGGATAAAGGACATGACTGAAGAGAGATGGTGTTCGTGCAGTTTTAATGGAGAACCCATCTTCTCTGCCAGTTTTATTGCCATAGGAGAGACACCCTAGTAGTGGCAAGTTACTACTATTTTACTTTATGAATAGCAGTCCCTAAGAACTCCAATAACAAATCTTGGATCATTTCTTTTATATGCTAATGATATTATCACTGCCAAGCCATTAGATATGATTTTTTTTGCACATCTGTTTCTGAAAAGAAAAAAATCTACATGTCATGTGAAAACATAATCCATAAATTACAAGGTTTGAGCTGACTATATATTTCACAGTCTGGGTTGTACCTGCCTCCATTTAAATTTTTCTTTTTTATGAAGACAGATAGTGGCCTATCATTGTATTACTAATGTTGACTATTTCTTTGTTTTGATAGTCTTTGCCTAGATTGAACTTAAAGTTTTGGGTTATTTCTGAATGAGTAAGTCATATATTTGGATAAAAGTCAAACTTTAATCTTAACTTTGCAGTATATTTTATACATGTTAAATTATATCTTAAAAAGCCTTCACCAATTTAAGGCTTTCCTGATACTCATACACATGTAGTAACATTTGAAGGACCATCACTGTTAGCCGTTCCCCTTAAAAGTTGTTACCTATAATTCATGTTGTCTTTCCTCATCATCTGGAAGATACAAATACATCTGTTTCTTTTATGGTCAAGACTTCTCTTCTTGAGGAAACATATGCAGTGCTTGGCAAGGGAAGCCAAGCCTATGGATGCTGTAAATATGCCATATGTCTACAAGTAAATGTGTAGAGCACTAGGTTCATGGATATCCTGTGCTAAAACAATGCTTGATAATGATACCTCCTGAGGCCTGATACAGATCTATCTACTTGGTGGTGGAGTATATAATTCTGACTTGGGTGAGATAATAACAGCATTGTTATCTAGAAAAGTTTAAGACTTAGAATGGAACTGTTAATCGGAATAACTTTCAAAGTTGAAAGACAGTAGGGATGCTGAAGAACAAGCCCAGACATACCCCTTCCTGAGCCCCTGTCTGTCTCCTCAGTCTTATTCCAAAGCTTCTTCAACTTTAGACAGGCATCCTTTCTACCTCTACTTAGGCAAGATATGAAGTTGGTCTTCTGTTTCCACTCATATCACCTGTCAATCTGTTTTTTTGTGGTCTCTCCAGAGCAAACTTTTAAAAAGAAAACTTTCCTCTCTCTCTCTGATTCAAAACTGCATGATAACTAGCCTCTGCCTACCAAACTGCACTCCAGGTTCACCCTGTGTCATACTTGTGCCCAGCAGTCGATGGTCCTCAATGAGCCACAGAGCTGTCAGAACCCATGCAACATACTGTTTCCTCTGCCGGGGGCACTTGGCATTGTGCCTCCTTCCATTTTAGTTTGATTGGTTTTTGCTTGTTTTTCAAGCATCATTTTTGCCCCTAGCAACTTTCTCTTATGTTGCCATCACCATAAGAAGTTATGCTACTCCTCTCTTCTCTGAGATCTCTGAGGCTTTTACCTTACAGAACTGATATTATCAACTAATAGAGCTCCTCAACAGGGTCATCCCTTTCGTGAAGTCAGTAAAATCTGGTGCAGCATTAATTTTCAAAAAGGTTTGGGAGTTCATTGGCATACTTATTTTCTGGTAAAATTTGAAAGCTTTGAGAGTCCTAGACTATAGTCAGAATTGTGATGACGGTAAGGGTAGTGGTAGTGGGCACCTACATCTGAAGATCGTGCTGGTGAAAGAATGGATGGACAGACTGACTCTTCTCTTATATGTTAGAGCTGGAAAGGACAAAGTCCTAATAAGAGTTACACACAAGATAAAAATGGCTAAAACCTGGACCCAGGGATGTGATTTTACTTTGCTGTTCAGTGTAGATCTGCCTTCTGCTTTCAAGCAATACTTCGTTTTAAAATAAGCATACTCTTGGCATGCCAAATTCCTTCCTTGTTGGTGAGCCCACAGAGAGAGTTTGAAACTGCACAGACTTGTCAGAGTCTAGAAATAGTCTTTGAGACCACTCAACAACTAACAATTAAAAACATAAATAAATACAATAAAACGAGTCTTAGTGGCTATAAAACCTTTGCCTCTGCTCTAGGATATTTCTCCAATTGACATTTCTACAAGAAACAACCCACTTTCCTCCCATTCTTCTTATGTGCCAAAAAAGCAAAAAGGAAGAGAAGAAAGAAGGAAAGAAAGAAAGAAAGAAAGAAAGAAAGAAAGAAAGAAGGAAGGAAGGAAGGAAGGAAGGAAGGAAGGAAGGAAGGAAGGAAGGAAGGAAGGAAGGAAAGAGGGAAAGGAGGAAAGAAGAAAGATCAGTATGACATATGGACGAATTCCAACATCAGCCAGTGCATATATTAAAGTTTTAAATCAATTATTGTTCTAGTACACACCCTGGGGTTGAGAACGAAAGAACATCCAGGACTAACAAACCTGATTGTTCTGGCAAAGATGCCGTTCAATTCATGCTGGCATCTCCGGGTTTTCTTTTTCTTCAGTATTCCAACTTCATTTTTAAAAAGCAAGTTGGTTCAAGTAGCGACTTTTAACATTGCTGTTTCATTCATTTTTCTCCAGAGGACTTCTACCTGGGTCTCTTGAGGCTTTCCCAAAGGGCACAATGCCTAGGGTTTGCTTTTCAGTTGTAGGGACATCTGTCAGTCTGTGAGCAAGCCTGTTAGAGCATGGATTATTCCTTGCTCTATTGCTTTCCAAGCAAGGCAGAGATCTTGGCTTCGGAACATGAGTACTTCACAACTTGGCATCCTTAGATTCCCCCAAAAAGGACTTAATCACAGCAGTTCAGAAACCAAATTACAACTGAATAGCAAAAGGACTTGAACCTGTAATCATACTGTGATTACTATTGATCTAACTAAAATTCCTACAAAACATGTGGATTTTTTTTTTCTAGGCAAGTACTGGAAGTCGATCAAGGTGGTGGCTTTTACGAGGGGCTGTACTCTGCCTGGTTCTCAACTGCAAGAGGAGTCAGAGACCGTTTCTGCACTAGCCTCTCTGACAGTAGATGTGGAACAGCCATTTGCTCAGGAAGATGGCAGGTATGGACCCAGTATGGGGGAATCACGTGTTCAGTAATGTCCAGACTCATTGCTGGCATTCTGGAACTTTCTTCCTGCTTCTTCTTCACCTGTCTTTTCTACTTCCTCCATCTGTTTTCTCCAAAGCGACGGATGGCAGAGTATATGCTTATAGGCTGTGGAGAACTCAATTGTTTCATTCTTCCTGGGAAAAGCAGGTCTGGAGCACAGAACTCACAGGGAAAGAGAGAATGTGAGATAGATGGTGAGAAGAATCATTCCTTGTTGGGTAATTTAGTGCCGATCACTGTGGAAAGAGCTGCTTGGGGACTTAACTTCTTCCCCTCCTTATCTCTGTTTTCCCAGATGTTCTCTTTCTTCCTCTCATCATTTGAAATTTCTGATATAACAAAGGGAGCAGAGGAAGGTGAAGCTGCATGGGATGCTGGTCAGGGGCCAGCAATTGCATACATACGTGAGTCTCCTTGAGTCTAAATGGATAAAGATGGAAGATGCTTGCCAAGGAGATACAAGTGTGCATGAAAGAGTAGGAAAAATGAGCCTGGTTTTATTCTCTATTACACAAGAAAAGTGTTCTCATTTCTCTTCATATGTATCTAGACTGGGGTGGGGCGGGTCATGCTAGCCTCAGGTTATGCTTGCTTGTTTACCCTTTAAGAAACCATTGTCAGTTTGTACATTTTCCTGCCCATTTCCTTATCCTGATGAAAACACTACATTCAATATGTCTTTATAGTCCACTGTGACCGGCTCTACTGGGCTTTCCATAGAGGACTGCAAGGTCACATCTCTCTGGGCATATGTCACTCCAGACTCAGCAGAAGCTCTGGGTCTTGCTTCTGAGAAGGAGCTTCCACTCTCTGGATCAGTAACATTACACAGAGCCTTCCACTTGCCAAACACGAGAATGTGAGCGGTTCTGGCTTTCTTACCTTAGCTGGATACTCCCAATTTAATGGATTTAACATCTTGTTTAGGCCTAAACAGTTGATAAACTGAATAAGAGATTTCATCTTTCTGCCTCTGTTTTCTCTTGCTCTAACCAGTTTAGGAGAAAATTATCAATGGGGAGAGTACTTGTGTGTTACTGAATTAGAAGACATTTTCTTGCAGTATCTGGAGAAAGGGGGAAAACGTATTTTACATCTTTGATATTATGAACTAGCCCCCTGCTGTTCCCAGCTAAGAACTGAACCAAGTTCATAATCCAAAGGTGTTGCAATTATTCCCAAGGCCAAAACCAGTTAGCTGTCTGTCATCTGAGGGCCATAAAACTGAGGAAACTAACATCTGTTAGTGTTGGATATAAAAGAGCAAAGCTATTCTTTAGAATCCATTTAATACAGAAAAATGAGGTGAATTCCACCCTGGGTAAAGTGAATTCTAAGTAATTCTGCCCATGAAATTGCAGAGCTTGGAATAATTAACAATAATACGAGATGTTGTGAACCCCAACCGATATAAAAATCTCAGCCCCTTGGCAGGAGCTGCCTCTACAATCGTATTTGCTTATTCTGTGGTAAATCATGTGCTTGGCTCCTGATAATCTGTAAGAATTAACCCAGCTTCAGTTCCCAGTGACTCTAATCTTCCGCTGATGGCATGTAGGGAATGTGAATAGCAGTGTCTTGATGAACAGGCTGAGTGGAAGCCTGGTTTCATGTCTATTTATCTTTTTTTAGACAGATTATACCAATTGTGATTGTTTCATTCTTGAGGGGAAAAAATGGTTTGACTTGAACTATTTTCTGTGGTTTTTTTTTATTTCCTTCAACAAAAGGGCAGACAAAAATCTTCTAGAAACAGAGCCTGTGTTTTAGTTAAACTGCATATGACTTTCATGAAAGGGATGATGGAGAATGGATGGGTGGGGGTGGAGAGAAAGCAAGAGATTGACCCAGGGGTTGCTATCAGAATGGTCCCCCGGCACAGCAGGCAAAGATAAAGGCGAGGCCCCTGGGCCTTTGTTGTGAATGCAATATTGTAATCACACAGGAAATTGAAAAATTAGAAAAAAAAAATCAGAGTTAAATGGATGGAAAGAGCAAAAGCAAATTCTTTTTATAGGAAATTCTTGCCAGTTATTTTGGAGGATATATTGGTGTTTGGAGTGAGATGACTCATTTCATGCTCAGATTCTGGGTAAGGCGGCCCTTTTCCTGGCCAACTCATATCTGACTCATTTACCACTAGTGAATAAGGGATAAAATGCTCCTGGCTAAGAACCATTTTAAGTATTTTCTGTTCGTTTTCTTGAATGGGGGTGGGGTAACAGTCATTTCATTTTTATGACCACACTGATGGGCCTCGAAGAACACAGTGCTAGGGAAAGACTGGCCAGTGGGAACTCATGCTAGGGATCGTTCCCAAATATACCACAGTCACGTGTAATTTTTCGGTGGTAAAGGACTTAAAGGGAAGGGAGTGACGGGTGGATCAGCAGAAAGAGGAAAACAAACCCTAGAGCATGCCCACATGAGGGAGTCAGAGGAAACTAAGAGTATAGACTGGTTATAGACAGCGGATTGTTTAGAGGCAGGCTGTAGTGTTTGTTTCTATCTTGTTTGTTAGGACAGCATTCCTGGAAGATTTGTGCTGTGCATTTGTAGCTGTTTGTGCCTCTGAGCTTTCATTTTGGGAAAGTTGGTAGCAGACTTCAATTTCCTCCTAGAGGAAAGGCCAGTCTGCGCCTGTGACTTCAGGATGACCAACCATTAAGGATTAGGAGCACACTGGCACTCCAGACTTCTTTGCTAAGTCCTTTCCTTTTTCAGTAGGAAACAAAAAGTGAAAGTTAAATGTTCCCATATCATTCTGAGCTGTCTACAGAAGGGTGAATCATGTTTGATTATCTGAATACATCTCTTATGTCCTTAATCATTTAACTTTTTGGCTTTTGGTGTCTTTTCTCAAAAAAGAGGTGGTTTCAAGCCTTTGTATCATCTTTAAAGCTTGCAGAAAGATTTGCTTCAGAGGCTTGGAGTTTGTGGAATAGCTACCTTTTTGGGAAGATAAGGTATCATAAGCAGAGAGCTTACTAAAATCTCAGGTCTTCATTTTGAATAGTTAATCCACAGAGCCTTAGGACCTTGGTACTGTTTTTCTGAATATGATGACTTGTATAAAAGCATATGCCATTTTAATGCATGTTCATATCTAACACACAAAGAAACATGGTTGTTCAAATTTCCTGGACATTGAGAGTATGTGTCTATGGCTGCTAGGAATTGACTTACAAATTGTGCAACTCTCTGGTGTTACTCTGTGCAGCATTATTTTAAGCACTGGTTTATCTAAGTAGGCTAACATTCCAAAATAATTTCACTTTTAATTTTCTCTCAGTGTCAACAAAGCATTAGCTGAAAAGCTGGCTCAGATCTGGAAGTTTCCTAGTGAAAAGGGGTAAGGTCCTTGCACATGTCCTTCTGCCTCTCATCTTCTTGGAACACCTACGTTATGTGTTTTCAGTACAAAATACAGTCTCAGAGCAGGGGTGAAAGCTGACCTGATACATTCAATGATCCTGTAGTGGCCTGTCTACATTCGTTATAAAATAGCATTTAATTTATTGAAAGGTGACAAAATTAAATAGAACTCTGAGGAGACAGGGATGCCTCAAGAGCTTAGTGTCCCATTTCTTCTTCCTGATCATTCTGATCCTCACTGCTCTGGGAAGAAAGACTTGGCTCTAGGAGAGGGCAGCTGATTCTTATGAACATGAAATTAAAGGACATATGTGAAGAACACAGCCCAAACACCTGATACACAGGAAGTTCCCAATATGGGTTGCATCAGACTATTCCCTTCAGTTTTATTTTATTCTACTGTACTTATTCTTCCCCTAAGAAGTTGTTCATGATCCAGTGACCTGTAAGAATATAGAAACAATACCTAGACATCTGTGTATTCTATATAATACTCTACTATTCTTGGTTAAAAACCAGGAGATCAACACTGAATAACCACTTAGTAGTAAGTTGACTTTATTACATATTGTGTAGTTAGCTAACCCATCTCCAAAAGCGTACAAATATTATATATTTTATATAATTTCCTGAATAAGCAAAAGAGTATTTTTGGAAGACAAACACCTTTAAAATACTAAAGCATTTCATAGTGGTACCTGGATGATACTGGTCTCTCTATTTGCTATGACTTCAAAGGAAATAAATATTGCACTTTTTCTTGGTATAAGTTGGCAATCCCCATTTTGAGAGCATGTTGGCGAGCCCAACTCTGTATTAGTCTTACATCGTAAAGATGGTTTAGCTAAGAAAATATAGTAGGGATAGTGTATGAAATATCTTTGTGAATGGAGAGTTAGAGTAATTCAAGAGTCATATTTAACAGAACTGCATTTAAGGGCAAAGGGGAAAATGGAAGTTGAGCAGGTAGTTACAGGACTGCTGTCTGATGTGTAGAATGAGCAGGAGGAACATCACATCCATTCAATCCTTAGACACCTTTAATTTATTTCCCACATGCCTAACAAAGTGCTCACAGCCAAGGTCACCAACTTACTTTGCAGTCTTCTACTGCTTCTATTTAAAAAAATATTAAAAATTAACTACTTAAACCAAGATGGAGATTCTGTAGGTCCAATCCTGGTGTGGGTTTCAGCTCATGTTGGTAGGCTTCCTTCCTTTGGGGATGTTCCAGGGAGGAATCTGTCCCCTTTCCCCGTCGTCTAGGAGCTCAGAGCTTCATCCTGTGTCTTGAGAGCCGGTAGCAGGTCATATCTCCTTTACATTTCTTCAGTCACCAAAGTCCTTCTGACGGAAATCAAGCAAGAATTTTTGTGGGAAAAGGCTTATGTGAGTGACATTCAAGATAGAGGCAATAACTCGCATGTTTTTTTCCCCACATCTGTACTACAAATACACATGACAACCTACTTTAATCTTTTATTCAAATATTAATAGCCTTTCCTTATTCTCAAATCTCTGTTCTGATCATTTTTCTATTCTGTAACCAGGAAGCCATTTTAAAAAATAGAGCTG